TTGGCAGAAGAAGTGTGCACAGCTCAGGGAGCTGACCCACAAAGCGATTTGACCTTCCCCTGTGATAATGTACAACGTCCCATCTGGTTCTCCACGTAACCACCAAGGTGATGCTTTGTTGAAGATTAGGTGTCTTCCTGTTCTGGATCTTACCCTCTCCTTAAATTCTCTGTAAACGTCAGCCTTCTGCAGACTGTGTAAGTAAATGTGCTGCAGGTGTCCCACTGGGAGATGGGCTCCTCCAGACCACACCGCAGCTTTCTGCACTTTGACTCTTGTGTTTTTTTTTTTTTAATTGGGAAGTGTCTGATGGATTACACTATCATACAACAAAATTATATTAAGTATGTATTTTTAGCAAGTAATTTCCTTTAAAATTTTTTATTATAAAACAAAAAAATACAAAAAACTAAGTTTCAAAACAACATAATAGGAAATTAACAATGGTTAATATATTGCATATTGTTATCTTCAAAATAGTTGCTCAGATTATAAGATTTAGGCATGAAAAAATAATCAAACAATGAAAGCACAAAGTTTTTTTATAAACTAACAGATTAGTAATATAATTATCTTGTATATAGACAGACAGACAGACAGACAGAGAGATCGGTGTTTAATCTTTTCCTTTCTTATTTCCTTTCTCTCACTCCAGTTGTTCTTTCCTTTGGAGAACTTTCCTACCCTTTCATTTTCACAATATCTATTGTACATTTGGATCCTATTTACTTTTTCAGTTTTTTTGTTAGGGAGACAATATGATGTTTATACATGCAAGCCTCATTTATTTCACTTATGAGTATGGTCTTGAGTTGCATCCATTTACTTACAAAAGCCTTAAGTTTATCCTCCTATCCTCCTCAGCTCTAAGCTGAGTAGTACTCCATTATATAAAAATGTCACATCTTTTTTGTTCAGTTGATGGGTATTTAGATTATTTCCAAGATTTGGTGATAATGATTTGTGCTGCTGTAAATCTGGTTGCACACATATTGCTGTGATATGATGTTTTCAGTTCTTCTGGGAAAACAGCCAGAAAGGAAATAGCTATATAGAATGGGGCCTCCAATTCTGGTTTTTTGAGGAATCTCTACATTCATTTCCACAGTGGTTGTATCACTCTACACTCCTACCAACAGTGGAGAGCAGTTCCATTTTCCCCATCGCCCCATCAGCATTTGCTATCGGATGATTTCTTGATGATAGCCATTCTTTCTGATGTAAGATGGAGTCTTAGTGTTGTTTTAATTTGAATTGCTCAAATTATCAATGATTTTTTTCAGGTATTTGTCTGCCATTTGTATTTCTTTATCTGAGAAGTGTGTATTCATCTCAGATGCCCATTTTGGATTGGGTCATTGAATTTTGGGAAGTCTGATTTTTTGAATTCTCAGTATGTTCTGGATAAAAGTCCTTTGACTGAGAGACAGTTAGCTATTTTTTTCCCCAATTCTGTGGATTGTCTTTTCACTCTGTTGGTGATTTCTTTGGTGTGCAAAATTTTTTTAACAAGGTGAGATCCCAGTTGATTCTTTGAAATACTGTTGTGCAGTTTGGATTTTGTTCATAAACTCTCTGCCTAACCCCATGTCTTGAGGGTTTCAACCTAGCTTTTCATCCAGTAGATTTAGTGTTTGTTTTAATATTTTTATCTCTGATCCATTTTGACTTTAGTTTAGTGCATGGTAATAGATATGTGTCTAATTTTAGTTTTCAGCATGTAGAAAGCCAGTTTTTCCTTCCTTCCAGTGAACATATTTGGCCCCTTTTTTCAAAGATAGCTGAGTATCTTTATAGTTGTGTCTGCATCTTCTAATCTATTCCACTGAGACTTAGGTCTGGGTTTTATTTGTGTGCCAGTACCATGTTGATTTTATTACAGTAGCTTTGTTGTATAATTTCAAGTCAGGGATTGCGATAACTCCTACATTGCCTTTGTTGTCCAGGACTGCCTTTGTTATTCTAGATCTCTTCTGTTTCCAAATGAATTTTAGAAATATTTTTTTTAGTTCTGTAATGTATTCTTATACTATTTTGGTTGGGATTGCGTTAAATCTGTATAATAGTTTTAGAAGTATGGTCATGTTCACAATGTTGGTTCTTTCTATCCATGAGCAAAGGATATCTATCCATCTTCTGATATCCTCTTCAATCTCCTTTTTCAAAGTACTTTAATTTTCAATATATAGATCTTTTCCATTCTTTGTTAGATTGATTCCTATATATTTCATTTTTGGCATGTTATTGTGAAAGGTTTTTCCCTAACTTTTCTCTCAGTGAGTTTGAGTACAGGAATGCTATAGATTTTTGAGTGTCAACTCTTTATGTAGCTATACTGCTGAATTTGCTTATTAACTCTAACAGCCTTTTGGTGGAGATTTTGGGGTCTTCTAGGAAGAGTATCATGTCATGTGCAAATAATGATAGTTGAACTTCTTTCTTTTATTTCTCTGTCTTGTCTAATTGCTCTGGCTAACACTCCTATATTGAATAGGAGTGGTGTTAGTGGACATTCTTCTCTTGCTCTGGATTTTAGAGAGAAAGCGTTTAGTTTCTGACTGTTTAGTATGACACTGGCTGTTGCTTCTTTTCTGCTCTTCCTCATTCTCCATTGTCCTTTCTCCAGAGTTTCAAGAGCCGCACTGGACTCAGCAAATACATGTTTGCTGCACATGCAGTTTACAATCATCTTGGCGAGTGGGTATATGTATGTGAAACAGCTTTATTCTTTTTAAAATCTCTTTCCTTCCCTCCCTTCTCCTCTAGTTGTCTTTCCCATTTTTGTTCCTCTTGATATTATTAGTCTGAGCTCATGTTTGTGGCATATACTGTTTACATTCATTGAGGTAATTAGGCTCCTGTATATGGCTTATCCTCGTCCCTTACTTTCCCTCCTCCTCTCCCTCACCTTTGGTCTTTTGGACCCCATCCCATTTGCAAGAGAGCCATCCCTTGTCTCCTTCTATTCATCCTTTGTTATTCTCTTTGTTTATACTTTGCCTTGCTCAAATGGGAGACACTATATAGCATTTAAGCTTGTGTGTCTGGTTTTTTTTCACTCAACATTATAAAATCCAGGTGCATTCATTTTGCTACAAATGCCTCAAACTTGTCCTCTTTTTTAAATTACATGATTGAATCTGAATTTTGTTTCTTCACTTGCGTTTCAGTTACTTTATGTGAAACCTGAAATTTTCTATGACAAGATATCAGTAATAAAAATATTATCCTTTTGACTTATACTTTCTCTCGCTTCTCTCCTTATGCTGATAATCAAGGATTAGCATTGTGGGCTTATAACAGTTGGTTTGGGGCTATTACTGTGTTTTTTCTGTGCTGTGTGTCTTTCAGTCTAGTTAGCCACTCTAACGTGTGACTGGGTATAACTCTGCCAGTGCTTCACCACTTGTACTCTCTCTTACCTTTTGTCTATCCCTCTTCTTTCCATTTCTCCTTTTCTTCATCTTGACCGGAATGTCTCCCTACTGCAGACATCTATAGATATTGCTTAATCCTCCCTATAATATAAACTCCTCAAGATGAATTAGGACCTCATATCAAGTAAATTATTGGCCAACTCACTCTGTAACATTGTAATTTTTCCAAAAGCCTCTTATCTTGGATATTAATAAGAAGTGACATGTACATAGTTCCTGTGCCAGTTACTGTTCAAAATAGTTAATTTTCACAAATTAGTTTATTTAATTTTCAAATAATCTTTGAGGTAAAATTATTTGCTCTATCATTTTCAATACCTGTACTTATTTTAAAGAAAAAAATGTCTTTTTACAAAAGAAAGCAGAAGTAGGTAGTTGGCTTTCTCAAATTTTGAGGTAATAAATTTTATTTAATCCTTAGCTGCAAAGGGTTTAGTCAAGATGAATAGTAATTATTCATATAAGAAGAAGGGCATCTACTAGCACCCCTTAATGAGTTCAAGTTTTGATATATCATAAAAAACATGGACAGTTCTGTCCTACACCATTTCTATGAAGCGTATGATATTGCCTACTTCATGGTGATGCTATGTTCGAAAATTAAGCTCTCAACATTTGATGTTACCAAGGACATATTTCTCCATCATGATTTTAACAATGCACCATTATTAAGGAAATGAGTCATTTGAGAAATGTTACTTGGGAACATGAGGTGCAGAAAAGCACACAATTTTTTTCTGCATTGATTCCAGTGATGGTTTCACAACTTTCTAGTCGTATTAAATGTCAAGTAAGTAGCCAAAATTTTATTGCATGTATCATGCAAATCATGTATATTCATTGTGAATAATACATACAAAGGTGGCTGGAAGGCAGGATAAAAAGGAAGGAAGGAAGGAAAAGAAGGGAGAAAAAGCAAAAGAGGGAAAAAGAAAAATACTACCTCGAACCCCATTATTGATAAATCACCATTGACATTAGACAGTACATCTTTTAACTATTTTATGTGTTTAGATATATAATTTTTAAAATAAAAATAGCATGGCAAAGTCTTTTATAACACATCTTTATTTTTTAACTACACAATATTTGGCTTTGTTGTACAGTTAATATGTCAAAGCTATTTAAATAAATCACGTGTTGAATATTTAGATAATTGTAACCTTTTATGTATCATTTACATATTCTTATTTCATTAGTATTAAGTCTTATAAAAGGGTTTGTCTCAACAGGTAAGTAAAATGTTAAAGCTTTTGATATTTTTGCCAAGTTGCCATCTAAGAAGGTCATGCAATTTATATTCCACCAGCAGAACTGAAAACTCTCAGCAAATATTGCTATTTACCATTATATTAGTAGTCATTTCTTAATTTTGGGGAAGAAGGAACTTGTTTAAATGCTTTATGAGCTGATTATTGATTATATGAATTCTGGGGTTAGAATAAGCTTTCCTTCCTTATGTCTGAAATCCATTTTGGTGAAACAAAATCCCCAATTAAGTAAGACATGCCTGATCACCAGGTTTTGCTAACTATAATATGCCACCTGATTTTAAATTCTCAGTGTGTATGGAGTCCAAGCTGGAGGTCATCCGATGCTTGCAACTGGCACTGACTGATGCCATCAAGGGTATCATACAGCCCATAATGTCTTTGATGAGCTGCAAAAGAACCTGGGAAACAAACCTGAACAACCACAGTGTTCCCAATCACTTGCTTGAGAGCATCCCAAAAGAATGGAATTATATTCCAAAAGAATCGAAAAAGAAAGAATCAGGCAAAGGTAAGTATGTTTGTTTTTCTTAAGGAAAATTTATCCTGAAGAAGCAATTCTCTAGTATATTCAATTAAGTAATAGTCTAAAAACTATATGGTTCATAAACAATACTAACCTTCCTTCCAATAAACATTTGGGACTCTTAATTTTTAAAATTATGAACCACACTAACAAGAAGAAAACTACCAATGAAAATGGCTTAAATGGTCATTTCTTTAACAAGCAATTCAGGATTTTCTGTGATATTTTCTTTTTGTGTTAGTATGCACACAGTTTTCTGATCTGATTTTAATTAATCTCCTTTAAATCTATTGTATAATCTAAGATATGTACTCTCAAGAGGATTTGTATGACATCAGTTTATTAATTATTCTTTCCTTTACAATTTTCCTCTGAAACTTTATGTATTACTTCCTTTTCTCCTGTTAACACACCAAGATATATAGATTTAGGTTTAAAAAATAGCATTCAATAGTAATGTGGTAACTGCAGTACTTTCCTGACAGGCTGTTTCATTCTACATTTAGTGTATTGCTTTTCCAGAGCAATGTATATACCAAATACACCCAGGAATCATTTCTCATATATATCATTCATCTATTTTACTAATCAAGTTTTCTCTTCTTAAATGGTCAATTTCTGCTTATATATTTTCATTTCCCCAGAATTTTCACAAAACTCCTTCAGATGTATACAACATGTCTGTATCTGTGAATCCTCTTTTGGGTTTCTAAAATAACACTTTCCCTCTACATATTTATCTTTTAAAGAGGATTTTTTAAATAAATTCTAAGGAAACTTTTGATAATGAATTAATCCAGCAAAACCCAGAAAAAGCAGTTGAAGGGGCTAGTCTTTCTTTTCATTCTTTCTACATAGACGCTAAATAATGTGGCTCTTGTCCAATGACCTTACATTACAAATTGAAATCCTGTGACCTTTCATAGTACTGCTTTCGTTCTGTCCAAGCCCTATTAAACTGCCTTTGAATCTAGTAAAGCTATTTAATTGAAACTGGAAAATGTTGCCTTCTCGTTACTTAAGTTCTTTTTCTGAGAGTTGTTGTCATCTCTCCTTCATTCTAGTTTTTGGATATTTCATACATTTCAAGCGATTCAGAAGATGTTAACACATCATAGCATACTAGTAGGGTTATTTTGCTTGAACATTTCAAGTTATTCTCCCATTCATAAATAATTTTGGTTTCCCTGAAGCATTTTGGAATTCTTCCATACCATTTCAAAGAGTCTCTGGTTCCAAAAATGGTTACTTGATAGATACAAGTTCTGGAGTTTTCACTATTAAGTACTATTTTTCATAAAGTTGTGGCAAGAATTACAATACACAGACAGCCAAGAAGAGGTGTCAGATCACATAAATATATACAGGAAAATGACTTTATGAACCATTTAGTACATTCTAAATACAGGTGATAACAGGTGAATTTCACTGTTCTTCATTTCTGCTCTCTGAAATGCTATAGGAACTTCTAGATTGGCACTTCCTAATCTTTATTTTCTTGTCTTATCTGCACTTTTGCTTTCTGTCATTCCAGTTACCTGCTCTCAACCATGGCCCAAAACTGTTAGTATTTGTTTGACTTGCAACAGAGAGAATTCATAGTTATCTACTTTTATTATAATGTATAGTTGTGTTATATTTTATTATTAATCTGTTACTCTAACTAATTTATAAAATTAAAAAAATATATGAAAATACCCACAGATAAAAGGTTTGGGACTATCTGTGGTTTCAAGAATGCACTGTAGGTCTTGGAAAATCTCATCTGGAAAAGGAGAAACTACTGTAAAAGACTGATAATAATTATATGCCAGACATTAAGTCATCTATTCCTTCAACAGATATTTAGTAGTGAGTGACTACTATATACCAGACACTGTATTTAAGGTCAGATCTAATATGCTTGGATATATATATATATATATATATATATATATATAGAGAGAGAGAGAGAGAGAGAGAGAGAGAGAGAGAGTAAGATCCTGATGCTTGGAAATTGGTATAACTATTTCAACATGGGTATAAGCATCTCAGGGGATGCGCAATACTTGGTGTTTGGGAAGAAATTCAATAAAGTCTCATATGGAGACTGCCACTGGAACTTTCCCTTGGCCTGTATGTGAACTAAGTATGTGTGGGAGAAAAATACATAAAGAAGCTCCGAGAAAGTTCAGCACAGTGATGCATGCATGTATCAGGCTGAGATAGGAGGATCACTACAAATTTAAGGCCAAGCTGAGCTACCCAATGGGTCAAAGTTCAGCCTAAGGAGCACAATGTTATCCTGTCTCAAAAAAATAAAGAAAAACAAAGCAAAGTGAAAAAGCCTAAAAAGAAGGCACCACAGTACAACTCAACTCAGCTCAACTGTGGTTCAATACTAGAAAGCAGCAGAGACTGCACCATGACAAAGAAAAACATTTCACGTTTCTATTACTTGTATAAGTTATTTCTCAGCCTTATCAGAAGGTAAAACAATGATCTGATCAGATTTGCCAAAAATCTGGAAAAACTATTTGGAATATGGCCTCTCATACGTGACAGTGTAATACGAATCTCTCCCAAGTGAGCTTTAAGCTATAGATACCAGCCACAGATAGTTGGAAATCATCTTGATTAGCAAAAGGTTTGAAAGCTAAGCTAAAACATGAAGACAAACCTTGATCACTCTTCATTGGTGTTTTAAGCAAAGTGATACATAATGATGTTCTTTGCAAATTTTGCCTGAACAATGATAAATGTTTAAAGTCCCCCCTACTCCCTTTCAGGGAGTTCTAACTTTCTGAGAGGTGAAAATATCCACTGCCTTAAGGGAATATTTGGCCTTGACATGCTACAAAGGACAGAAAGTGGAAAACATGGTGTCAAGCATTTCTTCATTAGCAAATACTATTACACAGAAGACACGGAAGATTTAAAGAAATACACATCACCATGGATTACACGGGGTAGGAATTTTACCGTAGAGTAGAATGAAAATTCAGTTGGCTCTAAAATTACCCAGTTGCTCCATTACGTGTGTGCACACAAAGACCTAGTTTTATTTTGTTTCTTTGACAATTAAATGAAAGACATACCTAGAATGCTATTTTCTCAACAGTAAATTATTTTTCTAAGGAAAAGAACCTTTGATGCGAGCATTGCTGGAGTATTTGCCTTAACTGAAACAACGGATGCCAGAGAGCTGAAACATGAGAAAAACATGCCTATGCCATCATTCACGTGCAGACTGTTGAGGAGGAAATTGAGAGCAGAAATGCACAAAGTGCTACAGGAAGTCATTAAAACAAAGCTTACTGTACAAAAATGAGGCATAGGCGCTTCATAAAGACCAGTATCAGCTACAAAAAGTGCACTGCAGCCGTGCACTTAAGAACTCAGTTGTAGAATTTAAAAACATGTTTTAAAGTATTCCAACGTAAAGCTTCATTGATCCTTCAGTTTTTTCTGAACTGTACTGAACTATGGACAGAACTATGAAACTGAAATATTTTTCATTTTTTTTGCAAGAAAAACTAATTAGCATCACAGTTAATGGATACTTACTAGTCTAATTTAACAAAAGCTTTGTCTGTTCAGTAGATAAGTCTGAAAAAACAAATGGCATGATTTTGTAAGCACAGCTAGTAATACGTTATTCCATTCATGTGGATCTATATGTTTATGTGATGGCTTTTTCACCAGTGAGAACCCTTAAAATATGGTACTGAAACAATCTGAACTTGAATCTGACCTTTGTGAAGTGTTAAACCTAGATTTTAAACAAAATAAAGCTAATTGAATTGTATATGTTCCTCCATTTGCTGTATATTCCCTTTTGTATATTTTATATTTTACAAGTGCAATGTTATAACAGGGCATGTGTAGGGAAGAACTGATAAATACGTAAGTTATACCTACATATTGTATTCATGCTAACACACATACTGTTTCACATTTTATCAGCCTTGAAACTGGGGTGGTGTGTATTATGTATAGGTGACTTAGACAGTCAACTTATTTAAATAAAGACAAGAAAATAAGCATGTGGCAGTGGTAAAGGATCTCTCCCGGGTGTGCTGTTGACATCCTCATAGCTTCACAGCCCTTGTGATTAGTAGAACAGATTTATTCATTTGTCATCAGCCTGAAGGTCCTGGTTGGAATTTGCCTTAAGCTTTAATGAAGTAGTTGGGGATTTGAGTACCTGATGTCCTCAGAGTTTATAAAATATCAGCAGAAGTTCAGGTGTAAAGAGAATTGGTAATCTTTTGCTGATATCTACTTAGATGGTCAAATGTTTGCTTAGTATCTGTGCTTAAACTCTCTCTAGAATAGACAGAATATAAGATACAATCTTTCAAGTCAAATACCTGACAAGAGAACCAGGAGTATGAGATATAAACACAAAAAGAACAAGATATTTAAAATAATTTAAGCACACAAACAAAAGGCACTGCATGAATTTGCTTTATCTATATTTTTAAAATATTAACCTAAATATTTACTTGAATAAAAGGAAAAAATTTTTCAGGGAACTGTTTTTTTAACCAGGTCCTGAATTAGGTGCTTTTGTGTATGTGCAGATACTGCTGGCATCTGTGGATACTCAAGGGGATTTTTTACTCATGCTCTTGAGGAACTTTCAGTCTAGTTATAAGAACAACTCACAAAAACATAAATGACAACATGAAATAAATAATACAAGTGATAATACAAAAGATGACCCAAAATGTCCCATTATGCACCCGATTACCAATGTGGTTATTTGGATAATACATTCAAATAAATTCCTAAGAGGGGATAGGAGTCTGAAGAATTAAAGAATATAGATGAGCTATTAAGACAGAGGACATCCCACTGAAAGTAATGAGATATTCAAAAACTTAATAGCAGACATGCTTAAAAGCATGTCAAAGTCTCAAAGAGAAGGCTCACAGAAACAGACTGCGGCTGGCTGTGGAGAATTTTGAAAGAGAGATCCTGGAGGCTCATCTCTTGATGGAAAACAGCTGAAACAATTGTATCTGAGAAGTGAGAAAATGAAATTGACAGACTAGTATATTCATTTGTTCTTACAGTTCAGGGGAGGAGCGAGACACAACCTGGAGCATGGAGATAAATTAGGAGAACACTTTGGTTGTCCAGGTACCATATATAATTAGGGCTTGAACTTGATCAGGAGCCTCGGTTGGTTCTCAGCAGAAAACAGTGTGTCAAATATGAGGGAACAGGTAGATTTATCAATGCTGATCATAAGTGGTCGATTATGAAGGATAGTATGACATTTAATAGGAAGGAAGGAAGGAAGGAAGGAAGGAAGGAAGGAAGGAAGGAAGGAAGAGAGAAAAAAGGAAGAAGAGAGTGAGGAAGAAAAAGAGAGATAGAGACAGAGAGAGAGAGAGAGAGAGAGAGAGAGAGAGAGAGAGAGAGACTTAGAGAGACAGAGACAGACAGACAGCGAGAACTGTGAGTACCAGCTAATTTAGAAGGTAAACAATGAATTTGGCTATACTGAGTTAATGATGACTGCTGTAAGAAGTGGAATGGGAAACCAAGTTGGATTTGTAGTGTTGCATCAGTCAGAGGACTGGGGGCCTGGGGGCCTCTCATGAAGGGGCCCTCTGCTTCGCAGTGCAGAGCTACAATGAGGCTGACTCAGAACTGAGAGTTTCTCTGGTGCAGAATGAAAAGTTCAGATAATAACAGTGAAGTAAAGCAGAAGTTTTATGGGTAATATTGGGGGGGGTGAATATTCCACAGGGCAAGGGAGCTGTATGGAAGAGAAAATCTCAAGGTGAACTTCTCAGTCTGATGTCTTTGCCTTGTCCATGTTTTCAGGGATCAGCTGATTTTCTCAAAATAATTATTGTGATGCTTGGTACAAGCAGGGTCTTAGCCCGTGTTTTGGGGATGAGCCAAGGTTCACATCAACAACAGAGACATATCTTAATCTATGTAGTTTCTAGGATGAGCCAAGGTTCACAGGAGCTAGGGCATAAGTAAAAAGTATGCACAGGTCCTACAAACTCAGCCCTCTCTGGTACATCATGTCATGAGGAAGCATGTGGTTATCACAATTATGCTTGCCATGCAGGTTATGCTCTGTGCTGCCCACTCCTCCCTAACCATTAACCCCACAGGAAGGTCAAGAGGAAGGATCCTAGAATAATCTAGAAGATTGTTTCTCAGTCAGGAATGATTTTGCATCACAGATATGTGACAATGCCTGCAGACATTTTTGGTTGTCACATCTTAGTGGGGGTGGGGCTACCAGTATGTAGTGAGTGGAGACCAGAGCCACTGCTAAATATCTCTCAGTGCACAAGACAACAAAGAATTGTCCCATGCAAAATGGCAATAGTACCCAAAACAAGAAATGCTAATCTAGAAAATGAGAACCGATATACCCTGCAGATAAACAGCACTAAGCTAGGAAATGCATATAGAATCATCAGTGGAAGAGCCAAGGACTTTTTCAGCAGACACCCATATCGAGGAGGTGTTAGTAGAAAGTGAACACAGTTGGGGACACAAGAAAAGGAAAGAGAAGTATTGTTAGAGGTAAACTCGAACTAGTTTATTGACTCATTTATTTAACAAATATTTATTGAACAACTCTTACATATGAGGTACTGTATGTTGGAGACAGCAATGTCCTTTGTGGAGCTTGTAATCTAATAGCAGGTGACAGATACTGAACAGGCAAAGGAGATAATTCTTAGTCAGATGATGATGAGTTGGGCAACAAAATGGCGGTCCACATTAGACAGGAACTGGGACTGGGATGGGGATGGGAAGTCATGAAGGGAATGCTTTGATGATATGGTGAAGCAAGCTTCTCTCAGGTGGTGACATTTAGGCTATGAATGAAAGGAAGAGGAGCCAATCCCAATAAGAAACTGATTCTGTCATGAATTCTAAGGATGGAGAGAAAAGATTTAAAGGGGCCTCAGAAGTATCAAAGGCTACCCAGAGGTCCAGCAGAAATCCCTTTGCATTTGCTAATGAGAGGGGCGACTGGGCCCTTCAAAGATGAAGTCTTAAAAGGTAGAAATATAAATTATAACACTGAATTCCCCAGTCTTCACTTGTGGAAGCAGAAAAATAATCAAGTATGGGATTTGGGGAATTTAGGGTAATACTGCACGAAACCCTGGCAGAGCTCTGTCAGAAGATGTCAAAGCACTTGCTTTTCTCAATAATTTTCTCCATGAAAATTAGACATCCCCACACAACACAAAAGTGTGCACGGGTGGAATGCAAATTCTAATATTAATCATACCTTTTCTGTCTTTCTTCCCCAGGCTTTGCCCAGCTTGCTGCTCAGGCAGTATCTATTGTAATCAGCAAGTTACCTACGGTGATTGCATGTTTGCCTCCCCCAATTAAATACTTCTTTTTTCTGTCTGAGAGAAAAATGTCAGAAAACTTTGTTGCACTGAAGAAAGCTGGCCTGCTTGTCTGGAACTTGATTGTAATTATATGTCGGATATTTGAGGATGGAAACACCGTGGAGCTTTTAACAGGTGCCTCCCTTGACAGACAGAAGAAGGAGCAGCTCAGCTTCATTTGTGCATGTTTGGAAAGCATCATGGGACAGCAGAGTAGCCCTAATCAAGTGACCCGAAAGGTCTTACAGAGCATTGAGCAGCAAAAGCCCAACTGGATTGAACGCCAATTGTTGAAAGCAAAGAAGTTGAGCGCTGACTGGTAAAGTGATGTTTTCTTAAACCGAATTTCATCAAATGCTTTCACAATAACAAAACCACCAATACACAACAAAAATCAAAATATTGTCAGATGGGCAGCAGTGGCCACTTGGCTAAAGTCATGGGAAGCTTAATGAATATAGAAAGAGATAAGTATCCCATTAACACAGGCCTGTTAGATGTTCCTTGTTTTCTTAAAATTTGAACCCCGCTGATACACAGGAACTCTATACCTGTGTAGTCACCATCTTAAGGTTTCTGATTAAAAGGGTGGTAGTTAAACCCAAGAGAATTTAGTTTCACTCCTTCTCAATGTGCAAACAGGTATCTAGTGAATAGCCTGGAGCATTTTGTAAATGGAGTGGGCAAGGAGATTAAATTAAGAAAGAATTAATGGATATAAAAGGCTTTTTATTGCCTTCTGTGTACCTGATTGTCAACTGAAAATACACATTTTTCATCTAGTAATGTAAGAATCCCAGAGGGCAACTGGGGCATATCACACTCAAGCTATAAACATACCCAGCTGTTTCGGTATGAAAATGTCAGACTTCTCACAGTTTTGTCATCGAGATCTAAGTGATTTGTGGTATCACAAAGATTTTTAAGGGTCTCTCATGAATTTAAATATGTACATAGAGATCACCTGACTTTAAAATTAGTCTGCAGGTATAGAGTTACATGCTATTGATAAAGAAATTTTGATTCAGCTGGAGTACAGATCACCAAGTCAGCCTGTTTTTAAATACCTCCCACCTACTGTCCTCCATGCTTTTAAAGTACATCGTATGGCTAGCAGATGCTAGTATAACTTTCTTCCTGAAACAACTAAAAGGCATTTGAAACATGGTTACTCTTACTAGTAAATGGCATTGGTAAAGGGCTCAGCCTTTAGAGTCAGAAGGGCGAATACAAGTTCTTGCAAATACATCACCATCTTGTACAAGTTATTTAATCCCTCAAAGCCTTAGTTTCAACACTGATACAAAACTGATGGAATCATATAGAAAAATTAAGCAACATTCATGAAGTTCTTTGCATCAGTCCTTTGAGCCAGATAAGCACTTCTTATTTATAAATAATTAGAGACCTTATACTCACTAGTTAATATTATAACTTAGATTCTTTACTTGTCTGTGTTAATCTATAGGGCTGTGTATTCATCCACATGACGGAAGCAGGTAATCATGATTTTCTTGATCTTGAGATACTGACTTCAAGAACAGCAGTCAGACAGATGCTTACTAACATCGACAGTGACCTTACTCTTTATATTTGCATTCAACACCAATTTACAGGTTTTACTCTAATGACTAAAAGATTAAGGCCAAATGTCATTATGCATGGCAGTGGTTATAAAAGAAAAAATAAACTTTGACAATAATAGATTTAATTATAGTTACACAGTTAAATTAATACTTTATATACTATACTGTACTATACTATACTATACTGCACTATACTAGACTTTAGAATTAGGAGCTCTATGTCACATAAGAGATATTTAAAGCAGTGTCTAAGTAATATAACTCAGGACCCATGCAGGAATCAATGAGTTAAAGTTTTCTTTAGAAGCTGATTATAAATTTTATAAACAACACCACATCTAGTATCTCCTATAGTAGGAAGTTGCCTAGCTAATATTTGGCTGTTTCACTTTGAGTCAAAAAATCACTCAGCTCTCTTTACAACATGTGCCAAAAACAAAGAACTGGTTATTTTCTTTTTATAGTCACGGCCTTCAAAGATTCTGAGTGATTAGTTAGCATGACGTTATGTCTTTCTCGGTTTCTCAGATGACAATATGATACTAAAAATGCAGGCTTAAAGTTATTTATTACATGAATTTGAAAAAGTTAAATTCGATCTCACCTTAATAACAGTCCCTTCCAGTCTAGGCACTCTAAGAGTGCTTCTTCTTAACTTTGGTTTCAAATTGATTATCTGATACACACATAAAATTCTACATCTAAGTATTTCTCATGGATTAATAACTAATTCATAGCTCTACAGTATAAGGCAAATGTATTTCAAATTATAATGTCTTTATTAGATAGATGATTGCTTAGGCTTTACCACAGATTTTTAAAAAAAGATAATGTTATATCTGCATTTATACCAATGTAGTTTTTCTGTTAAGATAAAGCAAATCTTAATTCCTCAAGATTATTTTGGAACTGCATGGCACCCTTCAGCTAAATTTCTTTCCCTTGCAGGCAGATTTGTTTGATTTCATGGAAATGGTGAAAGTAACTGCAGTCGGTTGCAAAGGTGGCAGCTGTAAACATTGCTCGTCCCGCATCCTGCCCTGCAAACATTACTATTCATTAAAATAACCTTCACTTTGTAGTAACTCACAAGCTGTAAACAGTCGACTTAGATTCTGGAGAACATGCAGCCCAAAAAGTAAAGAAATGTCTGTCTTTGCAGAGTAATTTGTCGAGTTGAAGATTATTGTTTTTCATCATGGTGACCCTGACGTGGCTGGTTGGGTGCATATACAGATTAAGATTAATGCAGTTATTCCTTGGCTAAGGTCTGCCTCTTTCAGGGCACATTCTCCCTAATGACATGATTGATAGGCAGTCCCAAATCCAGAGAGGAACTCATTAATCATGGCATTGACTGAATCCAATCATTTGCTTCACCTGCACAGTGATGGACAGGAAAGGATACAATTCAGGGGCTGACACCGAGATACTCCTTTGTCAGAGAGCCTCAACTTTTTCAATGTCAGCCTCTACAAAGCCTGACAAGACATTTTGCTTGCAACCTGTACACAGTCTCAAAAAGATCTATGTAAACTTCTCTTCTTGTAACAAGACCTTCTTTTATGAAAAGATTTACTCTAGCTAATGGATATATCTAGAAGTAGGATTTGCTTTCTTATTATTAGTTTTAGCAGGGCTTATATGAGCTTCATTTTTTTTTTTTTTTTTGAGAAAGATTTGAAGCTACATGTGGAAGCAATATCCAAGTTAATGTCCAGCAGCTGGGTATCATTTGGTTCAGTCTTCAGGTCAATGGCACTGACTTTTAGCAGAACTAATTTTATAATCATGGTAAAATCTCAGTAATGAACTGCAGTATACAGCTGATTACACCACAGTAAATTTCACTTCATCTGGGAAACAGTGGAAAACCATGATTGTAAAGCTTAACATGATCCAATAGCAAGCATGACCAGAAAATCAGTGTGGAGTATATATGGTATCCACAAATGTTAAACTTTTTTTTTTTACAATGGTATAGTCTGAGATGTTTAAAAGTTTTTAAGTCACCCATTATTAGCATGTAAAAAGTGTTCAAAACCAACAATAGGAATATGGATGTTTTGAAAAAAAAATATTTCAGGACTGTGTCTTTAGGATTCTTGGCCCCTTTTCTCAAACAATAACTGAGTAGTGACTTTTGCTAAGTATCTGTTACAGAAAAAAAGAAGAGGCACCTCTTTTTTTTTTAAAGGCAACAAGTATCTAAGGACAGTTTAAAATACCCGGTGGTTAAGACACTACTACACAGCACACAGGCTATGTTTAGCATCATAGGTTCCCCCTTTTGTTACTTTAATTAGTCTTTAATATGTTCTAAGACAGGTGTAAAGAGAAATCTACAAAAGACAGGATACCAAAGCTATTTCTGGCACCAAAGATACTTTATCCTCAAAGAGAAATCACAAATTATTTCTCACATGATCTTAAAAAGAAATGTTTTGTTTTCACCACATCATTGTACAATTTCAACAGTTGCAGTAAGGGGAAAATGTTTTATAGATAAGAGTATAAATGCAATAAAGAAATGTTTTAAAAGAAATGATTCTATTTTTTAAAAATGCTTTCAGGAGCTTAATTCTAAGGTGGTATTGTTTCTATAAGCAAGAGGAACTGGGGAAAGCTTACCTATTAGAGTGCAGTCTGTATGGATGTTTTGAAAATGAGATTTACATCGACTTTCCACACTCAGTCTCTCTGATTATTTTACAGTTCTTCCCCACTGATATGTGTGTGCTTTATTTGTACTTAGCACATTTATGGCAATGGAGAAAAGCACAATCTTAGAAGAAGGAGATACTGTTCTTGAACTGACTGAGCAGAAAATCAACACGATGGTCCTGGATCTCTGCCACAAACCAGGTGGCAGTGAGTACCTGAGGCAAATTTATCACATCATGCAGCTCAATGAGGTAGGGAAACGGTCTTTTTACCGAGCAATTAGGTGTGTACTGGCCTGAGGCAGCGTCTGCTGGCAGCTAAGGGTTAGTCAAGGAGGTGATAATACTTCTTAAAAGTCAATACCAAACTCAATATCGCATTATTAATAGAATCTATTCAGCCCCGGCTGTTCTGCATTTGTGTAGAAAAAGCTTCACTGAAACAATGTAGGTTTTATTTGTATGATTTAAACAATAACATGGCTCATAAATTTAGTTCAGTTCTGTCTGTGGAAAATAGACATGTAGTTTGGGAATTGTGTGTTTGTGACTGTTAAGCTGATGTTAAAGTCTGGTATTGTGGAAACGAAGAATTTTCCAAAGAGTCAGAGCTATTTTCCTGAAGACGTTATTCTTGTCTTGGTAAAGTTGGAGATTCCTTTTGTAATGAAAAAAGTCACAAGAATATTGAACCACATTGGAGATCAGTCAGATTAACTGAGGGAAATTCATTAATGCACAGACACTGGTGAAAGCCAATGTTATGCATTTCCATCTCTCTGCTCTGTTTAGCCTCTGACCCTGCACAGTTTGGGCTTTTCTAGCAAAAAAATGTAAACAAGCAGGTTATCTCAGCTATTTACTTAAACTAATATATACTTGTTAACTTAGGTTTTCATTTTGATAACACATATCTGAATTAGAATGTTTCATCGCTAACTAGGTTTATGTTTGAAAACACATAAAATCATATTTTTTGGAATGATAAAAATTGTATAATATGAGTAAAATGAATATAGTGTTTTGTCAAGGATGCAGGGTTTAAAAACCATACATTTCCAAAAAGTGAATTAAAATCTATGACACCATTTTACAACTCAGTTATATGAATGTTCTTTCTACTGTTACTGGTCTGAGAGTTATTTAAAATAAATCTTGATTCCTGGATTTCACAGCATTACACAACAGTCAATAAATATGTGACATTACATTGTATTCAGTGATAAACTCATGTGAGAAATGATCCTGTCTCTAAAGCACCAGAGCTCAATGTATGATTGCTACAGAGGGACTTGTCCTATCACCCTTGTCAATGATCCCACGTAGCCTGTGTGGGATCTCTCTTTGGAGAACCAAGGAACTCTTGGCCTTGGCCAAGTGGAGTCATGTTTCTCAGTGGTATGTCCACTTGGCCACCTGGTTGTGCTGGTGTTATTATGGTGACTACTAAGGAATAGAAGTTGCAGGATGATTATCCTCAGGCCTTCATAAAATGAGGTCACAACACTTCTGAAGCTATTAATAGCTTTTGTAGACTGACCAGTTTTACCAATAAACAAAATCATCAAAGATTAAGTTGCATGTCGATTGGCCATCAGTCCTCCAGTACATTTCCCCCCTGTAGAGCTCCTGTAACTCTGAGGCAGTGGTTGTGAACAAGAATGCTGTGGTATCTTCACCAGGATGCCATCAAAGTATGATCAATTAAGCTCCAAGTTATGATTCTTTTCTGTCACACTTGAATATGTTCACTATTATGGTAGTGTCTATTAGATGGGCTTTGAGCTAAATATCTACCCATTTATTCTACTGAATGAGGCATGTACAGTATGGTTAGAAGGATAATATGCTGGGTGACACAAAGCAAAGGAAGCAGCAGGCTTTTACTTAGACTCAGAAACACAGGTGATAAACTCAAACAATGAGAAGGTGACCAAGAGACCAGTCGGGTATTACAGCTGCTTTTATGTATGAGGCATCAGTATGCCATGGGTTCAGTTGACCATGATGTTTGCTCATTGGAGAAGTAGTACCCCACCTTGCACATGTGCTGTGATGTATTAGTCAAAAATGTAACATAAATTTAGAAGTATTTGTGGGTACAAGCCTACATGAGGAAGAATGGATGTGTCACTGATGGAGACAGAAATTGTGAGGCAATACTGGCTTAAAGATTTGTCTTGAGTGAATAAAAACTCTGAACAAAAAAGTTTTTGTTTGTTTTTAAGAATTACTAATGATTCTCACCATAGCAAAGAGATTAACAAAGGAGAAAATATTATTCCGTTTGCAGTTTGCAACAAAACATTTTTTAAATTGTGGAAATAACAAAGGTCCAAATATACTTATGTAAGAAGAAATGAGTCTAAAAAATTACTGGCCAGAACGAGGAGATTTTTTTTTTCAGTGAAGAGAGTATCTTATTTTATTTTATTTATTTTTTGTATTTTTCCTTTTTATCAGTACCAGGGATCGAACTCACAACTGCCTGCTTGCAAGGCAGGCGCTTATGCTGCTGAGCTAAATCCCCAGCCCCTGAGTATTTTATTTTTAAGTGCTTTATAAATCATGATGAAGAAATATTTTGTTTCGGTTTAATAATCCAAATCTAGGAGTAAAATTCTTTTCTGGTGGCTTTAACATTATCTAATAATATTTAGGAGGAGTTTACATGCGTCACTCTACCAGACATTATAAAATTAGTATTTCCAGCCAATGAACAAATTTAAGAAATGACTATTACTGTTAACACTAGTAGTGGTTTCTTTCTATATTTATGGTTTTAGCATCTGAGATTTGCCTTCCACAATGGCCACACATTCATATGGTTATAGGGCACAGGAAAAAGAACTGAGGCCAGACCTGTGGCTTCTCGTGTTATCCTACCACTCACCACTTGTGACGTCAGGCTTGTTTCCTGACCTTTCATAGTCAACCAATGTGTACAGCATTGGGCTAGAGTTTCTCCAACTTTTATATGCCCTCTGCTCTCCTGGGAATCCCTGTGAACATGCAAATTCTGGCTGAAAGGGGCTGGAACTATTTTCCTAATGAGAATCTGACTCTGAAGGTCTGGAACTTACTTTGGGTAGCAGGGATTTTAAGTGATCTCTGAAGTCCTATTCAGCCCTGATATTCTGAACTTTGTCCAGACCCTAGTCTTGAAGGAGAAAATTTGTTTTGTGACAAATTAAAAAGCAGAGCATCTCCTTTTGCTTATTTAATGACTTATTTATGAATAGTGGGCATTTGTGAGTTGATGGTAGATACAGTCACTGTAATGTGTTGTCTTCCAAAGAGTACCATAAAATAGATTAAAATTTTGGAGCTAGGGATTTAGCTCAGTGGCATAAGCACCTGCCTTACAAACAGGTGGTCGTTAGTTTGATCCCTGGTTCTGATAAAAATAAATTTTAAAAAATAGGTTACAATTTCAACTCTGTTTATTTGTGGGTTGGAGATGAGGTGTGATGCAACAGGTTGTCCTTTATTCTCTAAGGATTACACTTGGGAGGATTAGAATTACATATTTTGAGTTTCTACTGAACTTTGATATTTTTCAGTTCACAGTGTGGAAATAGAGTTTAGGAGCTTGCATTATAATTAATTTTACCTCAAATGAGACTACTTTTACTAAAATATCATAATACTTAGTGTTGTGCTGATCCTGAAGTATGGAGAAACTGCACTTAATAAATGGATGAGAAATCTTGTACTGTGGATAATTATATACCTAAGTTTGAGTAAACAGACATAGGAACACATGAACCAATAATAAGACAATACCTGTTAATAAGATTCTGACTTGTAGCTTTCAGTCATTACAGGAAAGTGGGTTAAGTGGTCTTTGAATCCCGAGTACATGTTAAGAAAACTTGTTTTTGATGAGTTTATAACAGTGGTGTTTGGTCCTCTGCTATGGATCTTTTGAAACTGTATTCTTCCCGGGGCAACTAATACAAATGTGCTAAGGAGATCAATTTTGGATATTGATCAGGTTATTGTTAAAGAGAATATATGCTCGTCACCATCAGGACTTGTACTTTTTTCCCTGAAGGAATATTTAAAAGAACAGCTGTTTTCTATGAGTGGTGCACAGGAAAAGCCCTTACACATCCGACCTTTAAAGATGACCGTGAGGAGTGTGGAAGATCAGCCTTCTGCCTTTAACCCTTTCCAGGTGTATAAGGAGTTTAGAGAAAACATGCTAGATCAGGTATGTAGAAATTAAATGGTAAATTTAATTTTAATGTGTGAATTTTCAACCTTAGTAAGAAAAATGCTTCGTATTTTTGAATATTTGCTCATAATTTTGGTGGAGGATACAGGGAAACAAAAATTCTTGTTCTTATTGATGTGGTTTGCACAGACCTTTATTTTACCTTCTTTTTGTTTGTCAAATTGATTCATGTGTTTGGCTAATGAAATTTAACTTTGATCAGTTCAGTTCACTGTGGGCAGAGGCTGGGTGTACAAGGGGCCCAAAGAACCTGAGAATTTTGTGGCATTCTTTCTCTCTGTTGTCATTCCTTATTTTTCAGTACATTAACTAAAACACATTGCAATCTTTATTGATGCATCAGGTAAATTAGAATATAGTTTAAGGTAAATTATAAATAGAATTTGAGCTTCTATTTTAAGTGAGAAAGGATAAATTTGTTATTTATGAGCCTAGACACCTTCCCAAATTTAAAATGAATATGCTAGTTCCCTTAAAGCCAGGATACTTGAAATAAAGGCAATATGATAAATGATATACATTTTAAAATGTCAAATTATATCACCTTTTAAACTGCATATTTCAGTAATTACATTAAAAAGATCATCTTTCTACCCAAGTATTTTAAATCTGCAGTTGCTTTCACTTTGTGCATTCTTTTATTGGCTCTTCCCAGAAACCTCTTGACAGACAGTTTGAATTAGCAGGGCAGAAGAGAAGAATTGCTTGACCTCGAGCACTGATGAAAATAAGAATTAAAACAATGGCCTAATTTGGCATGCAGATAATATTTTTACCATGCCTGTTACAGCTTTCGTCCACATTCATCAATACGGTAGTAGAATAAGACCTTCAATACTGACAAGGCAGGGCAGAATTCTCCTGCTCTATGACAGGATTGTAGTGCTCGATTAATCAGCAGGTGACAGCAGATAGCTCTTGTTGGATTTTAAACATCAACCTACACTCTTATTATCTAAACTATTTAGTTTTAAGGCACAAACACATCATTTTTAAAAACCATAGATAAATTAGGGTTTATTGGCGGCTTTCCTACATTGTACATTAGATTCCTCTAAGCCATAAATAATTATTATAGTTGTTAAATTATCCTTACTTCATTCAAATAAGTGACATGTTTTATTGAGTTCTGAATTATGAGATTTTTTTCACAGTAATTTTTCTCCTATAATGAGAAAAAAGAATCATTTTGTTTATATTTGCAGGCCCTTATAATCTCCTTTTAAAACATGTGTCTAAGATTATCACACTAATTAAGCTGTGTCTTACAACTTCAGTTGTAACATTTCCAAGTTGGTTTTTTCCATAAACTTTGGGTGGTTAGAAAACCCTGTAGGTTGATGTGTGAAAAAGTTGCCAAATATTGGGTTTTGTTTTTTGAAGAGTCACTTCTCTGAGGAACTTGTTGGGCAAATACCATGAACACTTGGAAGAATAACGACTCAAGGAATTGATTTATATTTTTATAAGTAATGACTACATCCCCAAATGGATTTATAAATTAATTGCTGTCTTATTGGAATAAAAACCTTCTTCTGTGGACATGATTGATGTTATCTGTCTAAGTCCTTGTTCTGGACCCCCCCCCTTCTTAGTGAGTCTATCACAGCTGGAGCTTTAATTTACCAATCATATTAACTCTGATTAATAACTAACAATAGTGTCTTCTCATTTATCAACAGTCAGCCATCATGAAATGGAACTGGAATTGGTCAAAGTTGCTGCCAAATTATCTGAGACTGGATAGGATGACCTTCAATGTACTGCTCAAAAACAGGTAATAAGATTGAGCATCTTTGTGCTCTAGCGTGTGTGTGTGTGTGTGTGTGTGTGTGTGTGTGTGTGTCTGTGCATGTATGTGATTTTCGGAAAAAGAGAAAATACATTTTATTAGCAGAGTGATATCTTATTTTCCTTTTCTACAGTCTCACAAATTAAAAAAAAAAGCTAAAATTAGGAGCAAGCTTCTTAAATTCTTTTTCCCACAGTGAATATTTGCACAATATGGCTCATGGGTAAAATTAGCTTCTTTTAATCTCAATTTTTAATATTTTTTGTGCATTTAATTGTTCAGTGTTGTAAACACCAAGAGTAATTGACTTGAATATCATCGGAGTATACCTTTGTTTACAACAATTTAAAGAGTGCACACAAAATGCCAAACAAAATCAACTAGTCTAGTCAGAGGAAATGTAAGTGAAGCTGTCATGGTTGGCTTTGTTACTTTTCAGCCGTCATCCTGGCACTGTGCTGCTGTACTGTCACTTGCATGCTACTTTCCACACATACAAACACCAGTGCAATGCAACAAGATAGTAAGGGGATCACAGCTTGGGAACCCAGACTTGTAATTTACTTTGCACCAAAGTACACATATTTTGTTTCTATCTTGGATCAATTAACATGTGTTTGTATGACTTTAGGTATTCAGTGACCCCTATAAGTACAAATTTTCAAAAGGGAATTTAGCAAATGTTACATTTCCAAGTATGTGTGCATGTGTGTGTTTTTTTTATTTGTGTGTGTATATATATTTTATTTCTTTTATTGTTCATAGATCATCCATTTGTTGGTACATAAGTATTGAAATTATATTCTATATGATATTTTTGATATATCTTCATTTTTTTTTCAAATATAGAGTATCAGTTTTTTTTTCCTGAAAGAAAGTTCACATCCTAGTAGAATTATCAAATTCCCCTTAAGAAATCTGGGTGTTTATAAGAAAATAGCCTATGAGAGAAAAAGCACAGTATTTCCCAGGTAGAGGGCTTTTTAAAAAGGTGGCTTTGTTGCCAATAAAAACTATAAACAAGTGGCCAAAATGGTACTGTTAATATTTCAACACTGAATTAAGCTCATTCATCTGTCCTGACAAAGTGGAACAATCCAGTCTTCCTCATGAAAGACAAAGTCTTACTCCTAGCAAACCACCTGGTAGCAGAGATGCTCTGCGCATCTGTGTACATCTGAGGCGATTCTATCGTGTTCCAAAGCTGTTAGCAGAGGTCAGAGGTGGGTTTGATGGAAAGGCCATCTGATGCAACACAGTATTAAATATTGTCTGGAAACAAACTCATAAAAATAAGTATTTTTCCTTGCTATTTGGAAATTTTTGAGTTTATGTAGAATATTATATTCTACTCTGTGACTTTCCCTGTCTAATCTACTAAATGGTACTCTAAGCATGTCCTTCAAAACTTACTGCATTTGGATTGTACAAATTCACTTCTAAGGGAACATGTGCTTTAACCAGATTTGCATTATGTTATTTTTGTTTAATGGCTTCAGGTATACTTCAATTAGGTCCCCAGCTATTAACGTTATTTCCTGAGATACTGCAGTAGTGAGTGGTAGGAAAATGTGCTACAAATTTAGCAGAAATAACAGGTCAAAACAGTTCTCTTAGAAAGGGGTCATGAATTTTTAATAAAAACAGCTAGAGTCTCATCTTCATAACAACCTTAGAGTTTTGAAGAATGGTATGAAAAGCATTCTGGTGCAAACTAACACTCACCACCAGCTACAATGAACCCAGCTGAGCTGCCTTAGCAGGATGAAAGACACCTGATTGTTTTTTATCACTTTCCCATTTATCTTAAGAATGTTGTTTATGAGTTTTGATTAATATTGAACTGTAAGAAAATGCTCTGGATTATTTTTTTCTCTAAGATACTCTCTTGTTTGGACTTATCTGCAAATGCTCATTTTTAAGAAACTAGTCCATTCAGTTTTTGACAACATGGTTATCTGAAAAATGCATATTTGAAAATGAGACCATAGAACACTGCGCTTTTAGAATGAAAGTTGCATATCTACAAAGTGATACTTCTTACTTACAGCCGTGGTCTTTGTGGTTAGGCAAAGCTGAAGGAAAGACAAAAAGCAGCTCCTCTGCATACATTCTTCCTGCCAAACTCGTCAGTTCACTTGTTCTCTTTGGGCTATATTTCTTGGTAATACATTTGTACTAATATGCCCTATATTGTGGTTAGATGTGTGAATGAGACCATGAATGTTGTGTGATGATATAATGTTACAAAGGCCTCAAACTAAGTTTATGTAGACTTAGGCCTCAAACCGTAGTGAAGCTCATGCCAAGCATTGAGTCAGACACTAGGCAGCAGCCTTAGTAGCCTGGAACACTGTGAGAAAATGAGCAAAGAGGACTTCAGCAGGCCAAGCAGGCCAGTCAGGAGATAAAGCCTGCTGAGAGGAACAGCTGAGAGACAGCTCAGAAACATGGAAAGAGGACATTCGTGGTGTCAGCCACATTTGTATCTGAAGCAGGACTGGCCTTGGTTCCACAAACTGGTTGGGTACTGACTCCAAAGGCTGAGCAATTTCTGAAGTGGTTGTCTGAGTCCCTGGCAGGGACACAGCCTCTGCTTGCTGTCTGGCCTCAGCTCAAACACCTTCCTTTCATGCGTGATGCTCTAAGGGCCAAATTTCTTCACATTCTCTCTGGATTCTTTAGGTTCTTTCCCACTTCAGCATCTTGGTTCTTGAAGTTCCTTCAGCTCTTCATGTGGCCCATACCACACTGTTCATGTAGGGTAAAAATTGCCTCCTGAAAGTGATCTTTTCTTGTCATCATCTAACGTGACTCTCCGGTCACTGTAGCATTCTACTCTAGTATGTGATTTCTGAGGTGAGGTATTACGATCTAAACTTTGATTCCTGTTTATTGTTTTAATCTTGCCCCATGTGGTAGAATATAAACTCGGTGAGATTTGTACTTTGCCTTCTATTTTACTGCATCTTTGATATCTAGAACAGCATTGCGCACATGGTAAGCTCATTGGATTAGTTAATGAATAAATGAAAAATAAGCATTTAAAAAGAAAGTTGGCCCTGAAAGATGAGCATGGACAGAGTAGGTGTTCTTTAAATATGGTGTCTGATTACCAGTACTATAGGTGCAAGAGTTATATTCTGGAAGATCACAAGTAAAAAATTACCTAAATGCATACTTATTCTCTACATTTTCAAAATTTGGATGAAAATCATGACAAATTCTTTATGTTTAAGATTCTTGTGATGATGATGGTGGTGGTGGTGATGACGATGATATAAAATTGGTTCATGTTAGAGCAGGAAACTGATCTGTACTTTTAACTCATTGATCCATTTGATCCATTCAAATCATAACCTTGTTGACAACAAAGTCTGTGTTTTATCCTGTGATTTGTAAATCTTTTGACATTTGGGCAATGAGGTCTGCATCTGTTAAATGAGGCTAAAAATGGAAAATTTTAAAAAGTTAGAAGAGTTACCTGACAAAAATATCCAACCAAACTTTTGTAAAGTAGTTATGAGTGATATTGGAAGTATTTGAAGAACAACAGTACCTACTATCTCAGAAAAGAGATGTTGAATATATATTAATGATATATGTATCAGCTTCAGAAGTTTGCTATTGTGGAAAATAAAGAGTCCTTAGAGGTCCAGAAAAGCCACATATGTATCAATTGAACACTTTAACCTGTAATACTCCATGAGAATGAGTACAGTAATTGTGCATTGATCCTTTGGAATAATAAAGGTACTTTTCACAGTTTCTTACTATTTATTTCTTGCTTTCATTCTTGCCCACTTTAAAATAAATCCAGAGGAGTGAATGAGATGGTAATTACCTTTTCAGGAGAATGAACCAAAAGGAACAGTCTATTCCTTCATTCGTGGCGGATCTCCAGATTGCCATTTTGATATTGTTTTCTTTGTCACTGGAACAAATTTATGCCTCTCCTTTTCTCTTCACCTTATTTATTCCAGACTAATTCCCAGGAATTGTGGTGTTGAAAATAATCTCTGAATACAGTGGAGTGCTATGCTGTTTTAACCATCTAAATATACTGCATATGAGTTTGGCTCCAAGTTGAGCAAACACAATTAAATATGATGGCAGGAACAGCAGAAGGGGTGGTGGTGGCAGATTTCTGGCTATCACTTTGGGACCTTTCCAGGTGGACAATAACCATGCGTCTGAGAGGAAACAGAGATTAGGGAACATGCTGGAAAAGAGCTGTTGATCTGTGTATTGTTTGCTTTTAATAATAATTACTAAAACACCTTTATCCTATATCAGGTTATAGTGTGGGCCCTGTGGTGTGTAGAGAGTAGAAAATATTGTGTCTGGCCTCAGACTGCACATGCTGCACTCTCAAGTGACCGTTTTCAGGCACTGCTACCATTAGCATGATGTTTATAGTTGTTCACTGCAGTAAATTCCTGGTACAGCAGACTGCCTGGTATAGAGAGCTGGGTTTACGAAAAAGGGGAAGCTGATTTTACGAGTACACACCTCTGAGCCATTACATACATTACTGATGCCATGACATTCAAATAGGGGGGTGTTTCCTGCTCCATTTCTCTAGAGAACCCCTTTCTTCCCACCTGCATCAAGGTTCTTCAGGTGAGGGCTGCCCCCCCCCACTACCGTCTTGCAGCAGCACAGTGTTTGCATAAAGGTAGCCTAATAGGCTGTTAGTGTGTATAAATTCAACCCTCAATCTTTTGAATTCTAGAGCTAAGGATTTTGATATATAAACTAAGCAAACTCATAAACATGTATTGTTTCATCTTTTTGATGGGAAACGTGGTTGTATCTGTCATCCTGTATGGCATACAAAACCTTCTCACACAAATCTTTTTGTTTGGCCTTCACTGGAATCAAATAATGAGAAACAGGTATAAGCAAAGTTGCAAAACATTAAATCGCACATCAAAGGTCACAGTATTCAAAATGACTCTGTATCTGGTACTTGACTTGGCATG